TGACCCCAATTAGTCTCAAATTATATCATGTCATCATGATGATTAAGTTACAAATGTTTCAAAACTACTGTGCTAGTGTTTTCTAACTTTTGGGAAAATAAAATGGTACATATCAAAATTTTGTAGGACTCTGCTAGACGAATTCTATTTCAGTTAGGCATCTTGAATATTCTGTAAATTTATGGAATATTAATTCAAATCATTCGAGTTTGATAAATGAATATTAAGAGAGATGAAATAAAGAAAGAAACTATATTGTTTGTCGATAATATTCTTTTATGATTACTTTATTTTTCATACATTTAAAATTTGTTGCAAACAAAAATATCGATAAATAATAGTATGATTTTCTCTATTTCAGCAGAAATATAAGACTTTAGGAACTCCAAATTTGAGACGTAATTAGACAAAAATAGGGTAAGGTTTGTGGTCAAAAATCAGTTAAGATTCAACTTCTAGCTAAGTTCAGCACAAATAAATAGGTGCTTAAAGATTCTCATAATTATTTGATGGGAAATAATTAGAATATAAAATTAGGTCATTTCTCTTTGAATTAATTAATTAATTAAAGTAAAGAAACAATTGTCTTATCAAAAAAGACCCTTTCAAAGAAAATATGTAAGTAGGGTCTTTATTTCTCAGTTCACAAGTGGTTCATGAAATGACATTTAAATTTTATTATAACAGTTTAATTTCTACGGTAATCAGAAGCTAGTCTAAGTGTGATTTATATATTTTTATAACTTACAAGATATTATACATTGAGAAATTTATTTAATACATATAAAATGCTTATCACAGAACGTTTTTGTGATATAAATTTGTAATGGTTACAAATTATCTGGCGTTAAAAAAATATGTATAACTTAAATCTAACCTTATATATGTGTGCCTGCCAACATCATGTTATCCTTTTGCAAAATATATATGAATATATTAACTAACAAGTAATATTGGAAGTTACAAAGCTTCATATATATATATATATATATATATATATATATATATAGAGAGAGAGAGAGAGAGAGAGAGAGAGAGAGTAGTAGTAGTTA